TATCTGTCTTGAGTGTTTGTGTGTGTGTGTAATCTGTGTGCGTGTATCTGTGTGTGTGTGTGTGTGTGTCTGTGTATCTGTCTGAGTGTCTGTGTGTGCGCGTGTATCTGTGTGCGTGTATCTGTGTGTGTGTGTCTGTGTATCTGTGTGTGTCTGTGTATCTGTCTGAGTGTCTGTGTGCGTGTGTATCTGTGTATGTGTGTATGTCTGTGTATCTGTATCTGTCTGTGTGTGTCTGTGTATCTGTGTGTCTGTGTATCTGTGTGTCTGTCTGAGTGTCTGTGTGTGTGTGTCTGTGTATCTGTGTGTGTGTGTGTCTGAGTGTCTGTGTGTGTGTGTCTGTGTATCTGTGTGTGTCTGTGTATCTGTGTGTCTGTCTGAGTGTCTGTGTGTGTGTGTGTGTCTGTGTGTATCTGTGTGTCTGTCTGAGTGTGTGTGTGTATCTGTGTGTGTATCTGTGTGTGTCTGTGTATCTGTGTGTGTGTGTGTCTGAGTGTCTGTGTGTGCATCTGTGTGTGTCTGTGTATCTGTGTGTGTGTGTGTCTGAGTGTCTGTGTGTGCATCTGTGTGTGTCTGTGTATCTGTGTGTGTGTGTCTGAGTGTCTGTGTGTGTGTCTGTGTATCTGTGTGTCTATCTGAGTGTGTGTGTATCTATGTGTGTGTATCTGTGTGTCTGTATATCTATGTGTGTGCGTCTATCTGTGCGACTGTGTGTCTGCATATCTATGTGTGCGTCTATCTGTGCGACTGTGTGTCTGTATATCTATGTGTGTGCGTCTATCTGTGCGACTGTGTGTCTGTATATCTATGTGTGCGTCTATCTGTGCGACTGTGTGTCTGCATATCTATGTGTGCGTCTATCTGTGCGACTGTGTGTCTGCATATCTATGTGTGTGCGTCTATCTGTGCGACTGTGTGTCTGCATATCTGTGTGTGCGTCTATCTGTGCGACTGTGTGTCTGTATATCTATGTGTGCGTCTATCTGTGCGACTGTGTGTCTGCATATCTATGTGTGCGTCTATCTGTGCGACTGTGTGTCTGCATATCTATGTGTGCGTCTATCTGTGCGACTGTGTGTCTGCATATCTATGTGTGTGCGTCTATCTGTGCGACTGTGTGTCTGCGTATCTGTTACTATCATTGTTAATCACTACGATCATTATTAATCACGACCGTCGTCATGAATCACGACAATTATTAATGGGGACCACTGATTACGAACGGTCGCTGTGAGTTGTGAGCGATTAACGGTGAGCGAGCGCGACGGCCCCACCAGGCTGACGGTGCACGCGGACGGTGTGGCGGAGCAGCTGGAGCGGGCGAGCGCGGCGTCGGGCGCGATGCTGGAGACCCAGAACCAGACCTTAGCCGCTCAGCGGGAGATCCTGGAGACCGGAAGTGCTCTGAAAGACACGTTACAGCAATCGACTCAGGGTGCGTCGCTCTCTCTTCCTCTCTCGCACTCATTCGCTCGCTCACTCACTCACTCGCTCACTCTCTCGCGCTCACGCTCACTCTCTCTCTCACGCTCACTCTCTCTCACTCTCTCTCTCTCTCGCCCTCTCTCGATAGCTCTCCGAATCCGACCCCCCAGTGCGTTCGCGTGGGTTCGTACGGAGAAATAATTCATCATCATGTCAAGAATTTCCTGTATTATTCAGGGGTTAGACCCCTCCCCTCGCACCCCACACTCCCCCTGTAGCTCAGGGGTTAGACCCCTCCTCGCCTCGCACCCCACACTCCTCCTGTAGCTCAGGGGTTAGACCCCTCCCCTCGCACCCCACAGCCCCTGTAGCTCAGGGTTAGACCCCTCCCCTCGCACCCCACAGCCCCTGTAGCTCAGGGGTTAGACCCCTCCCCTCGCACCCCACACTCGCCCTGTAGCTCAGGGGTTAGACCCCTCGCCTCGCAAGCTGGAGGACCCGGGTTCGATTCCTGGACTAGGCAGGACAGGGTGAAACCTTAGGCAAGTTTCCTTTCTCCCCCCCACCCCCACCAACACACACAGACACACCCCCCACCCCTCACACACCCCCCCCCCACCCCACACGCCTGTGTCCCCGGCAGTCAGTAGGAATCGCTTGTCAGGCGATCGATTGGGGGATCACTCTTCGGGGGTAATAATCCCTTCAACACAACAATAATTCGGTCACTTCAACCCCCCGGCTGTTTGTGGGGACGTCGCTGGGGGGCGATCGGCCGCCGCCATTGGCCCCCGAACACCCACACACAGTCACTACACTCGACAGCGTGTCCCGTGAAGCGCTTTGAGACGTCTCGAGGACGGGATCGGGCGCCGGGTCACACCCCGGGGGGGGGGGGTAATTGGTATTATTATTATTATTAAGTTGCTGTGGTGTTGTGTCCTCAGGGGTCAGGCGGGTGTTTGAGGAAATACAGGACACGTCGCAGAAACAACAGCGTCTGTTTTCCGAGATATTTAACCGCGTGGCATTCCTTCACCAATTTGTGGTCACGGAGTCAGTCGCTCTCCACACTTTCCTCTACAATCTCCTCGCAACCGCCATCACCTTCCTCCTGACCTCCACCCCACGCAGTTCGGGAGCAAGGTTTGTTCACACAGCGCAGAGGGAGCTTTACTGGGGCTTAACCCCTTACGCACAGTGTAGAGGGAGCTTTACTGGGGCTTAACCCCTTACGCACAGTGTAGAGGGAGCTTCACTGTGACTTAACCCCTGACACACAGTGTGGAGTCCTGTAGCTCAGTGGTTAGAGCACTCGCTTTGCAAGTGAGAGACCCGGGTTCAATTCCAGGCAGAGGGCGAAACCTCGGGCAAGTTTCCTTACTCCACACAGAGCCTAATAATAATCCCTCCAAAACAAAACAATAATAAATTGGTCATTTTCAATCCACGACTGTTTGTGGGACATTGCTGTGTGCAATTGGCCATCGCGTTCGCCCACAAATATACAGTCACTTCACTTTACAGTGTGTTCTGTGAAGCGCTTTGGGACGTCGAGAAGATATATCAAATGCGAGGATTATTATTATTATTACGTAAATCTATCCGTATTATCTGCTTCAATGGCCACTGATGGGAGTGAGTTCCGCGCAGTGCTGCCCTCTGTCTGAAGAAGTTCCTTCTGAATTCCCATTTCAATCCTCAGTCACTATCTTACACTCGTGTTTCTCCGTGAAGTCTCGGTCACAAATAGGACCACCTGTTTGAGCTGTGACACCGTGTTGTATTGGTGTCACTTGTGGCACTGCAATCAGTGCTGTAGCTCAGTGGTTAGAGCACCGCTTTTACTGTGTCTTAACCCCTTACGCACAGTGTAGAGGGAGCGTTACTGTGTCTTAACCCCTTACACACAGTGTAGAGGGAGCGTTACTGTGTCTTAACCCCTTACGCACAGTGTAGAGGGAGCTTTACTGTGTCTTAACCCCTTACATACAGTGTAGAGGGAACTTTACTGCGTCTCTAACCTTTGCCTCTCCTGTATCCAAGGTTAATGCTGTTGCTTTTAATCGGATTGAACGTATATCTTGAACACATCGCCTCTTCCACAGAGATGCATCCGTCAGAATCCAGCTTAGACTATACGGTAATAAATATATATATTTTTAGCTGTAGCTCAGGGGTTAGACCCCTCCCCTCGCACCCCACAGCCCCTGTAGCTCAGGGGTTAGACCCCTCCCCTCGCACCCCACGGTCCCTGTAGCTCAAGGGTTAGACCCCTCCCCTCGCACCCCACAGCCCCTGTAACTCAGGGGTTAGACCCCTCCCCTCGCACCCCACAGCCCCTGTAACTCAGGGGTTGGACCCCTCCCCTCGCACCCCACGGTCCCTGTAGCTCAAGGGTTGGACCCCTCGCCAATTTGATTTTGGGGTGGGTCAGGAAACCTTTGCCAAGTTTCCTTACTCCCCCCCCACCCCACACTCACACCCACACACACACACACACACAGACACACCCACACGTCTGTGTCCCGGCAGTCAGTAGGAATCGCTTGTCAGGCAATTGGGGGATCACTTTTCGGGGGTAATAATCCCTTCAAAACAATAATAATTCGGTCACTCTGACCCCCGGCTGTTTGTGGGGATGTCGCTGGGCGCGATCGGCCGCCGCGATTGGCCCCCAAAACACACAGTCACTACACTCGACAGCGTGTCCCGTGAAACACTTTGAGACGTCTTGACAACGGGATCGGGCGCCGGGTCACACATTTTCTCTCTGTGAGTCTCCCCATTACAAATAGTCTCTCTTTTTATCTTACACTCCCCCTCTCTCTCTCTCTCTCTCACACACACACACACACCTTCTCATGTGTCAGACGCCCGGCCGGTCACGGTGACGGGTTTCCGTGTGCGTCAGACGCCCGGCCGGTCACAGTGAAGGGTTTCCGTGTGGGTCAGACACCGGGCCGGTCACGGTGACGGGTTTCCGTGTGTGTCAGACACCCGGCCGGTCACGGTGACGGGTTTCCGTGTGTGTCAGACGCCCGGCCGGTCACGGAAAGCTCCTCGTGTTAGGGCGCTGTGTAAGGGCGATGTGTTTTGTGTGTGTGCGATGGCAGGAGAGGGTATCGCAGAGGGTTTGGCTGGTGAGGAGGCTGACGGTGATGTGTGGGATCCTGGTGTGGTCTTACTATGTCCTGACCTATCGAGACATCGTGCGCCAGAACATGGAGATCTTACAGCGACTGAGAGAGACGCAGAGAGACTTACACACAATGCTGTGCCATGCAGGTACAGGGGGAGAGAGAGAGAGCGAGCGAGGGAGTGTGTGTGTGTAAGAGAGAGAGAGAGAGGGAGTGCATGAGAGGGAGAGAGAGGGAATGTATGAGAGAGAGTGTGCGAGAGGGAGAGAGAGAGAGTGTGTGAGAGAGAGTGAGGGAGAGGGAGAGAGAGAGTGAGAGAGAGCGAGAGCATGTGTGGGAGAGTGAGAGGGAGGGAGTGAGAGTGTGTGCGAGAGAGTGTGTGAGAGACGGAGAGTGTGTGACGGGCAGAGAGAGGGAGCGTGTGTGAGAGTGAGCGTGACAGTGTGTGTGAGAGAGGGAGAGAGAGAGAGGAAGTGTGAGAGAGAGAGAGAGAGAGTGGGGGGGAGTGTTTGAGAGAGAGAACGTGAGTGACTGAGTGTGGGTGTGTGAGGGAGAGAGAGAGGGAGAGTATGTGACGGAGGGAGAGAGAGTATGTGTGAGAGAGGGAGAGCGCGGGGGAGAGAGAGAGAGAGTGAGCGTGAGAGAGAGAGAGAGAGCACGTGTGAGAGTTGGAGAGCGAGTGTGAGCAAGAGTGAGCGAGTGAGAGAGAGAGAGAGAAAACAGCCTTGTCTCGTTCCCCTACCCCTCTCTACCTGTCCACTCTCTCTCTCCTTCTCTCTCTCCTTCTCTCTCTCCTTTTCTCTCTCTCCTCAGAGAAAATACTAGCCGGTCCGATGCACACACATGTGCCCAGCCCTTGGTACACGCAGACAGGCGAGACACACGCGGACTCGGACTCTGCCATTGTCGTGTCACGTCTGGACATCACGGCTTCTCCATCGAAGGCAAACCGGCCCCAGGAAGAGAGTGAGTGAGGAGGGAGAGAACGAGAGGAGACACACGCACGCGCACACGCACACGCACACACACGGAAACCCGTCACCGTGACCAGCCGGGTGTCTGATACACACAGAGACAGACCACACGCGGATACAGACACACACACACAGACAGACACACATGGATACAGGCACATGCACACGGATACACACACACAGGTACAGACACACACACACACGGAAACCCGTCACTGTGATCAGCCGGGTGTCTGACACACACAGACACGGACATACACACACACAGACGGACATCGATATACACACACATACACACACGGAAACCCGTCACTGTGATCAGCCGGGTGTCTGACACACACAGACACGGACATACACACACACAAACGGACATCGATACACACACATACACACACGGAAACCCGTCACTGTGATCAGCCGGGTGTCTGACACACACAGACACGGACATACACACACACAAACGGACATCGATACACACACATACACACACGGAAACCCGTCACTGTGATCAGCCGGGTGTCTGACACGCACACAGACACACACACAGATACAGACACACACGCACAGACAGACACCGATACACACACATGGAAACCCGTCACGGTGATCAGTCGGGTGTCTGACACACACACACAGATACAGACACACACACACGTGGAAATCCGACACCGTGATCATCCGGGTGTTTGACACACTCTCTCCGTCCCTCCCTCCCTCCCTCCCTCCCTCCGCCTTGCCCTGCTATCCCCTCTCGCTCAGCCCCCTCCCCTCCTCCAAGACCCTCCTCTTCGATCGACACCCTCCTATACCCCCCCCCTCGCCCCGACCCCCAGCTCGGGGCCAAACCCCCTGACGTGACCTTCACGGTCTTAACGGCCTGTTGCGTCGTGTCTTTCAGACGAAGAGTTCGCCACGAGTACGCCAAGATATCGAACCCCAAGACCCCGAGCTCGCTCCCCCTCTCGCTCCCCCTCTCGCTCTCGCACCACCAGGGGGCGAACCAGGAGATCGGAAGTTTCCGTCTACAACATTCTGGTTTCCGAGGAAAATGTGAGCTCACGGATTGTCCCAGAATGAGCAACGGGGGCTGTGGGGTGCGAGGGGGGGGTCTAACCCCTGAGCTACAGGGGCTGTGGGGTGCGAGGGGAGGGGTCTAACCCCTGAGCTACAGGGGCTGTGGGGTGCGAGGGGGGGGTCTAACCCCTGAGCTACAGGGGCTGTGGGGTGGGGGGCGAGGGGGGGGTCTAACCCCTGAGCTACAGGGGCTGTGGGGTGCGGGGCGAGGGGTCTAACCCCTGAGCTACAGGGGCTGTGGGGTGTGAGGTGAGGGGTCTAACCCCTTAGCTACAGGGGGAGTGGGGTGCGAGGGGAGGGGGTCTAACCCCTGAGCTACAGGGGGAGTGGGGTGCGAGGGGAGGGAGGGGTCTAACCCCTGAGCTACAGGGGGAGTGGGGTGCGAGGGGAGGGATGGGGTCTAACCCCTGAGCTACAGGGGCTGTGGGGTGCGAGGGGAGGGATGGGGTCTAACCCCTGAGCTACAGGGGGAGTGGGGTGCGAGGGGGGAGGGGGTCTAACCCCTGAGCTACAGGGGGAGTGGGGTGCGAGGGAGGGATGGGGTCTAACCCCTGAGCTACAGGGGGAGTGGGGTGCGAGGGGAGGGATGGGGTCTAACCCCTGAGCTACAGGGGGAGTGGGGTGCGAGGGGAGGGATGGGGTCTAACCCCTGAGCTGTTGATGTTGCTCTAAGGTCCCTCTCGTCTTTCTTTCCAGAATTCCAAATACAATCTGCGGCAAAGGAATCCGGGAAAGTCACCGGCGGTCATTTGAGAAAAGTATTCAATTAATTTTTTCCGGACAACCCTTTGGTTTGATGATGGACTGAAACTGATTTTTTTTCCCCTCTGCTCACACATCCCTCAAACAATTTTTTTGACTGAGCTACAGGACTCCTTGCAGAATACCTTTGATGAGCGTGTGTGCGTGTGCGTGTGCGTGCGCGTGTGTGTGTGTGTGTGCGTGTGCGCGTGTGTCGGCCAAAAAAGCTCTCATATTTGCAGTAAACCGTAAAAAAACATGAAAAAAAAAGATGTGTGGTTCGCCGATGTTTACTCCCATTCACGCCCACTGTCTCTCTCTCTCTCTCTCTACCCCCCCCCTCCCTCCCTCTCTCTCCCTCCCCCCCCGACACCCCCCCCCCGCCCCCGCCCGCCCCCTCTTTGGAAGATTTCACAATAAATCGCTGAGATTCCTGACTTAATCTCGTGTTGCATCTGCAGATCGCAGGAGAGAGAGAGAGACGGAGAGAGGGAGAGAGAGAGAGACGGAGAGAGAGAGAGAGAGAGACGGAGAGAGAGAGAGAAATCTCTCATTCACACCGACCGCCTTCGCACGGAAACCCGTCCCCGTGACCGGCCGCGTGTCTGACACACACACACGGAAACCCGTCACCGTGACCGGCCGCGTGTCTGACACACACACACACGGAAACCCGTCACCGTGACCGGCCGCGTGTCTGACACACACACACGGAAACCCGTCACCGTGACCGGCCGCGTGTCTGACACACACACACACACGGAAACCCGTCACCGTTGCTTAAGAGTCTCCGAACCCACACCTGGAAACCCCAGAGAGATTGTCGGACTGGAATGCTCTCTCTCTCTCTCTCTCTCTCCCTGGAGGGACATCCTAGAGATAACACACACACACGTGCACACACCACACAAGTACACGTACACCACACGTGCGCGCACACATACACACGCAGCAGGACAGACTCAGGAACTCCAGGCGGCTCTATTAACGTCGACACAGTTATACGACGACTGACTGATTTTCCGCGCATTAAATTCACCCATTCACTGACCTGTGTGTGTGTGTCTTTTTTTAAATCGCCGATTTTTGGGTTCAAATCCTGTAAATAAAGCTGCGTTTGGTTTTCTTTTTTAAAAGCAATAAAAACCGTGAAAATAATCCAATCGATTCGACTTGTGTTTTCATGTCGCGAAAGGCCCCAAATCGGCTGTTTTTTTTTCTCCTACGACATCTATCGAATTTCTCTCCTCCCGGTTCCTGAGCCGGGAGGGTCCTCAGTATTCCAGGGCACAGGACACGATGTCGAGTGTAGTGACTGTGTGCTTTGGGGGCCAAAGGCGGCAGCCGATCGCCCCCCAGCGACGTCCCCACAAACGGCCGGGGGTTGGAGTGACCGAATTATTATTGTTTTGAAGGGATTATTACCCCCGAAAAGTGATCCCCCGGGGCTGTGGGGTGCGAGGCGAGGGGTCTAACCCCTGAGCTACAGGGGCTGTGGGGTGTGAGGCAAGGGGTCTAACCCCTGAGCTACAGGGGCTGTGGGGTGCGAGGGGAGGGGTCTAACCCCTGAGCTACAGGGGCTGTGGGGTGCGAAGGGAGGGGTCTAACCCCTGAGCTACAGGAGCTGTGGCTCGCGAGGCGAGGGGTCTAACCCCTGAGCTACAGGACTCGAATGGAGGGATGTGGGGGAGGGGAATAGAGGGGTGCAGGAGAGGGGAGAGAGAACGAGACACAGAGGTGGAGGGGGAGGGTTTAATATATATTAACATTTCATTAACACTCTGCTCCCACACACCCCAATATAATAATAATCCTTGCATTTGATATAGCGCCTTATCACGTTGTTGTGTGTTCTCCATCGAGGAGAGAGGGGGGGTGGGGGGAGAGGGAGGGGGAGAGAGGGGGAGAGGGAGAGAGAGTGGGTGGGTGGGTGTCAGTCATCTGTTGAGAAGAAGTCCATGGCAGCAGTCAGTGTGTTTGAGAGCTTTGTGGCCAGTTTATCTGGAATGAATAATAATAATAATAATTATAATAATCCTGGGGTGTGACCCGGTGCCCGATCACGTCGTTGAGACGTCTCAAAGCGCTTCACGGGACACGCCGTCGAGTGTAGTGACTGTTCGTTGGTTTCGGGGGCCACACGCGGCAGCCGATCGCGCCCGGCGATGTCCCCACAAACAGCCGGGGGTTGAAGTGACCGAATTATTATTATTTTGAGGGGATTATTACCCCCGAAAAGTGATTCCCCCAATCGACTGACAAGCGATTCCTACCGACTGCCGGGGACACAGGCGTGTGGGTGTGTTTGTGTGTGTGTGTGTGTGTCTGTGCATGTCTGGTGTCTGTGCGTGTGTCTGTCTGTGCATGAGTGTGTGTGTGAGTGTCTGTGTGTGTATGTGTGGTGTCTGTGCATGTCTGGTGTCTGTGAGTGTGTCTGTCTGTGCATGAGTGTGTGTGTGAGTGTGTGTGTGAGTGTCTGTGTGTGTATGTGTGGTGTCTGTGCATGTCTGGTGTCTGTGCGTGTGTCTGTCTGTGCATGAGTGTGTGTGTGAGTGTGTGTGTGAGTGTCTGTGTGTGTATGTGTGGTGTCTGTGCATGTCTGGTGTCTGTGCGTGTGTCTGTCTGTGCATGAGTGTTTGTGTGTGAGTGTGTCTGTGCATGAGTGTGTGTGTGTGTGAGTGTCTGTATGTGTGTGTCTGTGTGTGCGCGCGTGTATGTGAGTGTCTGTGTGTGCGCGCGTGTGTGTGTGTGTCTGTATGAGCGTGTGTGTGTCTGTGTGTGCGCGCGTATGTGAGTGTCTATGTGTGTGTGAGTGTGTGTGTGTGTGAGTGTGTGTGTGCCTAAGGTTTCGTCCTGTCCTGTCTCGCCTGGGATTGGAACCCGGGTCCTCCGGTTTGTGGCAGATCAGGGAGAGAGAGAGGGAGAGAGAGAGAGAGAGGTTTAAAGGTCTGGTTACCTGCTCTTTTCTGCAGCTTCTTCCTCCGCTTGTTGGCAGCTCGAACCGCCTGCCCCTGGTGAAGGGGTTCCACGTTTCTGATGTCTTCGCTGAGGTCTCGGAGCTGTGTGGCGGTGTCGCTGACCTCCGACTTCTTCCCCTTCTCTCGCCTCGCTTCAAACATCACTGTCATCTGACCCAGCTGGAGTGGGGGGGAGAGAGAGAGAGGGGGGGGGTGGGGGGAGAGAGTATGTGTGAGAGCGTGTGGGAGATAGAGAGAGTATACGAGAGAGTGAGAGGTAGCGAGAGTGTGATCGAGGGAGTGTGAGAGTGAGAGAGTGTGTGAGATAGAGAGAGGGTGGGAGAGTGCGTGAGAAAGTGTGTGAGAGAGGGAGTGTGAGAGAGTGTGCAAGAGAGTATGTGTGAGAGGGAGTGTGACAGATAGAGTGGGAGTGTGTGTGAGAGAGAGGAAGTGTGAGAGAGAGAGAGGGAGTGTGAGAGAGAGAGAGTGCATGTAAGAGAGAGAGTATGAGAGAGAGGGAGTGTGTGAGTGTGTGAGAGAGGGAGTGTGAGAGAGGGAGTGTGAGTGTGTGAGTGAGAGAGGGAGTGTGAGAGAGAGAGGGAGTGTGAGAGAGAGAGAGTGTGAGAGAGTGGAGGAAGTCTGTGAGAGAGAGAGTGAGTGAGAGAGGGAGTGTGTTGAGAGAAAGTGTGAGAGAGAGGGAAGGAGTGTGAAAAAGGGAGTGTGAGAGAGAGGGAGTGTGAGAGAGAGGGAGTGTGAGAGAGAGGGAGTGTGAGAGAGAGGGAGTGTGAGAGAGAGGGAGTGTGAGAGAGAGGGATGGAGTGTGAAAAAGGGAGTGTGAGAGAGAGGGAGTGTGAGAGAGGGAGGGAGTGTGAAAGAGGGAGTGTGAGAGAGGGAGGGAATGTGAAAGAGGCAGTGTGAGAGAGAGGGAGTGTGAGAGAGGGAGGGAGTGTGAGAGAGGGAGTGTGAGAGAGGGAGTGTGAGAGAGAGAGTGTGAGAGAGAGAGTGTGAGAGAGAGAGTGTGAGAGAGAGAGTGTGAGAGAGAGAGTGTGAGAGAGAGAGTGTGAGAGAGAGAGTGTGAGAGAGAGAGTGTGAGAGAGAGAGAGAGTGAGAGAGGGGGAGTGTGAGAGAGAGGAGTGTGAGAGAGAGAGAGTGGGAGAGAAAGAGAGAGGGAGTGAGAGAGAGAGACAAAGCTCCTCACCTCAGTATCTCTGTCATCATCCATCGCCTCCTCCCTCTGCTCTCTCTCTTCCCCCTCGCTCCCCCCCTCGCTCCCTCGCTGGCCTGTCTCCCCGCTGGTCAGCCCCACAGTCTGTAGGCAGATGCCCCCCTCAACTGGGGGAGAGGGGATGTCTGTGATAGGGGAGAAGGGGCCGGGGGGTAGAGAAGGGATGTAAGTACGTGAGATACACGCGCACACACACACCCAGACAGACAGACACACACACCCAGGAACACACCCAGACAGACAGACAGACACACACACACACCCAGACAGACAGACACACACACCCAGGAACACACCCAGACAGACAGACACACACACACCCAGACAGACAGACACACACACACCCAGACAGACACACACACACACACACACTCACACACCCACACAGACACACACACCCAGGAACACACCCAGACAGACACACACACACACACCCAGACAGACAGACACCCACACACCCAGACACACACACTCGCACACCCACCCAGACACACACACCGACACACATACACCCCACCCACAACACACACACACACACCCCAACCACACACACACTCATTCCCCCGGGCACACACACATATACATGCCCGACACACTCACTGCTAGGTAAATAGAGGCGCGCGCGTGTGTGTTTCTCTCTCTCTCGCTCTGACTGTACGTGTGTGTGTGTGTGCGTGGGTGTATGTGTGTGTCTCTCTCTCTCTCTCACTCTGACTGTCCCTGTGTGTATGTGTGTCTCTCTCTCTCTGATTGACTGTCCCTGTGTGTGTGTGTGTGTCTCTCTCTCTCTGACTGACTGTCCCTGTGTGTGTGTGTGTGTCTCTCTCTCTCTCTCTCTGACTGACTGTCCCTGTGTGTGTGTGTCTCTCTCTGACTGACTGTCCCTGTGTGTGTGTGTGTGTCTCTCTCTGACTGACTGTCCCTGTGTGTGTGTGTGTGTGTGTCTCTCTCTCTCTCTCTCTCTGACTGACTGTCCCTGTGTGTGTGTGTCTCTCTCTGACTGACTGTCCCTGTGTGTGTGTGTGTGTGTGTCTCTCTCTGACTGACTGTCCCTGTGTGTGTGTGTGTGTGTCTCTCTCTCTCTCTCTCTGACTGACTGTCCCTGTGTGTGTGTGTGTGTGTCTCTCTCTCTCTCTGACTGACTGTCCCTGTGTGTGTGTCTCTCTCTCTCTGACTGACTGTCCCTGTGTGTGTGTGTGTGTGTCTCTCTCTCTCTCTCTCTGACTGACTGTCCCTGTGTGTGTGTGTCTCTCTCTGCGCAGAGGTAGGGGGCTGGCAAGACCATGGAGGGGCTTTGAAGACCGGGATCTTGAGCCGTGTCCCCTGGGCGATGGGAAGCCAGTGGAGTTGGGGTGGGCGGGTGGGGGTGGGCGGCGAGGATGGAGGATGGTGTTGGGGTGCGGAGCCTGGCGGGGGAGAGGACACGGGCCGCGGAGTTTCTGGGTGCCCCGCGGCCTGCGGAGGGAGAATTTGGGGGAGGCCGACAAGCAGGGAGAGGGTGTAGGGGAGTTGGGGTCGGGCCAGAGGTTCCTCACCTCTGAGAACTTCCTGATCTGCCTCCTCGAGCTCGTCGATGTCGAAAGCTTTGCCCATCTCACTGACAATCTGGGCGCTCAGGTGTGTGGGCAAACTGTGGCTCGCAGGCGGGTGAGTGAAGTAACTGATCTTTCCGCTAGGCAGAGAGAGAGAGCGAGAGAGAGAGAGGGTGAGAGGGAGGGAGAGAGGAGCTGGTGTCAAGTACATACACATACACACTAACACACACAGACTCACACACACTGACACTCAAACACACTGACTCATACACACACACGCACACTAACACTCACATACTGACACACACACTGACTCATACACACACACGCACACACACTAACACTCACACACCGACACACACACTGACTCATACACACACAGACACACACACACACACATACAGACAGTGACATACACCCAGACAGACACACACACACACTGACCCACTGACAGACGCACAGACAGACCCACTGACACAGACAGACACACTGACACACACATACCCTGAGACAGACAGACAGACAAGACAGACAGACAGACAGTCAGACCCTGAGAGACACTGACACTCAAATACACTGACTCATATACACACACACACACAGACTGACACTCACACACTGACACACACACTGACTCATACACACAGACACACACACACACACACTGAGACACACACCAACTGACAGACAGACACACCCTGAGAGACACACTGACACACACAGACTGACACTCACACACTGACACACACACTGACTCATACACACAGACACACACACACACACTGAGACACACACCAACTGACAGACAGACAGACAGACAGACAGACAGACACACCCCGAGAGACACACTGACACACACACACACACACAGCTGACCTGGTCCAGTCTGTGAGGACGCTGCGGGCGGCTGCGTCCTGATCGGGAATTCCTCCTCTCCTCAACCTTCCCTGTCTGTGAGCCAACACACACAGGAACTGCTCCACATCCCGGAACTCCGCCACACCATAGTGCTCCCTGATCTGTTACACAGCGACCGAGAGTCAGAGAGAGAGAGAGAGAGAGAGAGAGAGAGAGAGAGAGAGACAGAAAGAGAGACAGAGAGACAGAGAGAGAGACACAGACACACACAGCGACCGAGAGTCAGAGAGAGAGAGAGAGAGAGAGACAGACAGAGAGAGACAGAGAGACAGAGAGAGAGACACAGACACACACAGCGACCGAGAGTCAGAGAGAGAGAGAGAGAGACAGAGAGACAGAGAGAGAGAGACACAGACACACACACAGCGACCGAGAGTCAGAGAGAGAGAGACATAGAGAGAGAGTCACAGAGACACACAGACACACAGCACCGAGAGTCAGAGAGAGAGAGAGACACACAGAGAGAGAGAGACACACACACTCACACACAGAGAGAGAGAGAGAGAGAGGAGAGAGAGGGAGACACATAGAGAGAGAGAGACACACACACACTGACCTGCACACTGACCTGCCGGGTGTCACACACACACACACACTGACACACACGCGCACACACACACACACTGACCTGCTGGGTGTCACATAGACACACACACTGACCTGCCGGGTGTCACACACACACACACTGACCTACTGGGTGTCTCACACACACACACTGACCTGCCGGGTGTCACACACACACACACACACACACTGACCTGCCGGGTGTCTCTCACACACACACACACACACACACACACTGACCTGCCGGGTGTCACACACACACTGACCTGCCGGGTGTCTCTCACACACACACACACACACACACTGACCTGCCGGGTGTCTCACACACACACACTGACCTGTAGGGTGTCTCACACACACACACACACACACACACTGACCTGCCGGGTGTCTCTCGCACACACACACACACACTGACCTGCCGGGTGTCTCACACACACACACTGACCTGTCGGGTGTCTCACACACACACATGGACCTGCCGGGTGTCACACACACACACACACACTGACCTGCCGGGTGTCTCTCACACACACACACACACACACACTGACCTGCCGGGTGTCTCACACACACACACTGACCTGTAGGGTGTCTCACACACACACACTGACCTGCCGGGTGTCTCACACACACACACACTGACCTGTCGGGTGTCACACACACACACACACACTGACCTGCCGGGTGTCACACACACACTGACCTGCCGGGTGTCTCTCACACACACACTGACCTGCCGGGTGTCTCACACACACACACTGACCTGTCGGGTGTCACACACACACTGACCTGCCGGGTGTCACACACACACACACACTGACCTGCCGGGTGTCACACACACACACACACTGACCTGCCGGGTGTCACACACATGGACCTGCCGGGTGTCTCACACACACACACACACTGACCTGCCGGGAGTCTCACACACACACACTGACCTGCCGGGTGTCTCTCCCACACACACACACACACACACACATGGACCTGCTGGGTGTCTCACACACACACACACACACACACTG